ACCAACCAACAACCCCCACATTTGGATGGCAAAGGGAAGGGATGCTGCAGGCCCCCAAGCCAACCTCTCCAGCTCCATCCCAGGGCATCCACCATAGCCAGGCATGAAGCCTACAGAGCTCAGAGCCCCACACAACACGTTTTAAATCAGAAAGCAGACACATACATGATGGTAAATGGTTAAATGATAAAAAACAATGGATAGCTTTTTCCCATTAATACCAACCTTTTACAGATAAATGTATAAACCAACTGCAAGATGCTTTACCAAATGGTTCCGGTCAGTTCTGAAGGGGTTTTCTTTCACTTCTTTTAGCCTACAAGATGTAAGTCTTGGGACTGGATTGAGATTAGCATCACCTTGCATTTGTAAGTTGTTAAATAAAAACAAGATCAGAACTACCCTATATACCACATCGTGAGACCTTGTCTCAGCCAAAGGGAAAACCAAGTACTAGAGGAAAAAGTATGACTGAGTCCCATTGGGGAGATTATGGTGTTGAGCGCTCTAAAGAACACGCAGCTACAAGGAAAAGGGATGTCTGTCACAACATAAAGTCAATGCAATATAATAATCATTGTCATTAAAATATTGTTACATACATTCTGAATGTCTTCATCAGAAAAAGCTGGGAATTTCTCCACAATGCCCATGGATTTGAAGGTTTTTACTCTTTCGTCATTGCTCTACATAACCTCATTTCCTAACTCTAGGACAAAAGGATCGATCTCTGATGAGCCAGGGCAGTTAAAATCATTTGCATAGATCTTGCTGGCTGCAGCACGAGATCGGGAGAGAACGATTGACTGGAAAAGGCTCTTTGCACACCCAGGATCATCGGATGTGCTTTTATCCCGGCCTGCACAGCAGCAGCCTTGAGAAGTAAAACTACCAGTAAACCAAACGGTGCTGCTCCCTCGTGCAATCAGTGCACCAGAGCTCCTCTCACCGGCAAAACACCAACGTCCTGCCCATCATTCGCTACGTGGTTGGACTGTGGTCAGCCTGAGCTGGAATTGTCTCCTTGCATGTAACAATAGGTTGGGTTCCTCGCCTGTTTCTCTGAGAACGAGACATGAACCCTCCTACATTTGACTCTTTAAAACATCCACCTGGAGGCACAGCCTTAAACATCAATGCTCAGCTTTCAGCAGCCTCCTGATGAGCACACACAACTCTGCCTCTTTGACAAGCAGCCTGCTCCCGAGGGTACCCGAGAGATCTGTGTGGGGTTCTTTCTCAGCAGCCTCCAGTAACACTGATGTGCAGTACATCCGAATGATGGAGTTTAACACCTGAGCACCTATTGAGAAAGGAAAATGAACAAGAAACAAGCCCCTGCTCCACTGGGATATGCAAGTCAGAGAACCTCATCTTAGAATCCAGCAAGGGCTGCCCTCACACAGGCCATAACAGGCGAGGAGCAAGGATGCTCTGTACCTCAAGGAAGGAATCTGCTGACAGCTTGAAGACAAGCCTTTAAGGGAGAAAGCATTGGAAAAGCCCTGTAACATGGATAACTAGATGAAAACACACACCCTCACAACTAACACTTAGCCAGCCAGTGCTCTCATACACCTTAAAGACACTGTGTGGGGGTTAATATAAAAGATTTGCTTTCTTTTAGCCTGTTACCTGTTGGATGGATGGAATTGGGTCCAACTGTTTCTCCATGACAACAGAGCCAGGAAGCCTCTGTTCAGCTGTTGTCCTGCCCGATCACAGAATGGTTTGAGTGGAAAAAACTAACATTGATCCTAATTATTCCTCTGAGCTGAGCTGCCCAGGAAAACCAGGCTGTGATTTCCAGGCATGAGGAGTGTTAAGGGAAGCACCTTCCAAGAGGAACAACACCTATCCATATAAATAGGGTGCATAGCTCAAGATTAGGGGAGTTTCCTTATCAGGCACATAATAAGTCTGAGATTAAAGAGTAAAGATGACTGCTTAAATAGCTTTGACACACAGTAAAGTACAACTGCTGCACAGCTCCTGCAGCTGCACATTATACAACACACTCTTATGAAAAATCTTTCTCTATAAATGTTCTACTTTAGCAGTAAACTCAAAACATTGTCCCATGAATTTTATAACCACTCTCCATATATATATATATATTTCTTATAAATGATGTAGAAAGTGTTTAGAGTAATTCAGGAGTAAAATAGAGAACTACTGGAATGAGGGTTACTCTGAGCAGGGTTCCCAGGGCAGAAAGTCTGAGCGCTGTGTTTGAACTGACTCAAATGGAGAGCTCTGTTAGAAAAACAAAGGTTCGAGCATCCTTCACATCACTCCTCCCGTTTGTGCACGTACAGGGGGAGGCCGATGAGCCTCGAGCAGTCACTGAGTGAATGACAAAGGAAAAACAAAGCTAGAAAGCAATGATTTAGCTGGTGGGTAAGATGAGTTCAAACAGTTACGGTCGCTGTATACACGGCTGCTCGACCACTGTGCTTAGAACAAAACATCTTATTTTAGAGATTAGTTGCCTTTGTTTAACAAAATGTACATGGTTACTTCCTCAAAGCCTCCTGCCACACTCTGCACGGATAACAGGGAGTCCTTACACCGCCAGCACCGAAGACGCTCATTTTCTCTTTCACTTTGGTCCACTCACACAATGTTATGAGAAGGGTCACAGGGTGGGAAACTCAAGCAACTTAACACATGAAAGCACCAAGTCCACTCTTGGCCTGAAAGTCTGTGTGTGATTAACTGAAAGAAACAAAGCATAAAAAACAAAAGCATAAATTAAAGTTATGAAAACGAAACAAAAAGCAAAATGTAGCGAAATATGTTAAAAACAAAACAAGGGGAGGGAAGGGCAAAGGCTGCTCAGGCACCTGAAGACCAATGGGAGAGAGCAAATTCCACACTGAAGCACAACCTGCCTGGCACAGGGAGGTACAGGGGGGGACTTCATCACAAACACTTGTATTTCCCCTTGACACCTGCAATTCCTCTTCATTTCTCACTGATTAAAGCCACTAAAAGCGCTGTGTTGAAACAGGAGATGATGACAAAAGCTTTGACCAGCTCTCCTGAACATAGAAACAAAACCACCCCCTCTCCAAACTCCCGATACACTCCCAGCTCCTCCAAGCTCCCAGCATGTTGCCCATAAACCCAGGATACTGCTCCAGCTCCATCACATCCATGCAGCACCAGAAACTCGCTACACAAAGCCACAGCACAGCCCGCACCGTGCGCTTGGCTGGCTGAAGCCTCCCAGGCTCCACAGGACCCCTGGCTCCTTTCAATGCCTCCCAGGTGAAGCCAAAAACACCCCCCAACCAAAAGAGCTAAACACCCAAATGACCCAAACCCCATTAAACCCACATCTCCCTAAGTTACCGGTGTTATTCCTGGTGATGGTGCACCCCCTCCAGCCATGCTCTGGAGAGGAAGAGAGCCCCAGCACCAAGCAGGGTCCCACCATGCTGTGGGTGCCCCTTGGTTCTCTGTTCACCCCCTGAGCTGCCTTCTCCCAGCCCTGCTCCTGACCATGGCCAGCTCCTATTCACCACCAGAAGAAGGTGTCCAGACTCGCATCTCAGGTGGGATAAAGCCAGCAAAGCCCAAGAAACCCATTTCTGTCCCAGGCAGATGGAGCGCAGGGGAAGCTGCAGTGTTCCAGCCTGGCCAGTGCACAGCACAGCATCCCCAAAGCATTCCAGCAGCAGTGTCACTCCCCCAAGGTACCGGTGTGCAGCTCAGCGTGCTTGCCTCTTTCAAAGCAGGCCCAGCCCCAGCCTGGCCCAGGGTTCAACCCCTCATTCGTGTGAGTTCAGCCAGATTAAACCCTGTGCTCAGCCCCATAGTTTACAAAGTGTTTTGGGTTCTACGTGTGAGGTGGGCCATGCCCTGAGGATGCTCAGAGGTCTGCAGAAAAGAGCGGGTTTGTGTCTTTAACACCAATACTCACTCCCGAGGAAATAGGTTAAAGAATACACACTCATCTTCCATGGGAAGAGGCAAATTACCAGCATGTCAGTGCCCAGAACGAGCTCCTCTAGTGCTGCAGTTCACAGCAGAGAAGTGTCAGAGCACAACATCTCATCAGCAACGGGAAGCTGAACGTTGTGCTGGCAAGAGCACTTCGGGTCTTGCTACTCTCGATGGTCTTGTTTCAGTTTCCATCACTAGAAGGCTCAGGAGCACTGCCACCAGCCTGTGCTGGGTTTGACAGGATGCAGCTCAGACTCTTAAGCTCCTTCACACAAGAGGAAGTAACAAAAGATGCTGGAATAACGGAATTCCCAGCTTGCGTGATGGTGCTTCTCATTTTGCTCCCTGCCCAGTGTTCCTTGAAGACTGGCTTGAATGCAAGCAGGATCACACACCCCCCTTTTCTCTTCAAACCTGTTTGCCAATTCCTGCTCTGTCTTTACACCTTCAGGTGCCTGAAGGAGCATTATTTACATGCCCTCCTCCACACTGCTGCTGGCTTCAGCAATGGGCATTAACTGGCAGCAAGCTGAGATAAGAATTCTGCCTGTAGGGGAAAAGAGCTGAGCAGAGCTGTGTCCTGGAGCCCTGCTTCACATGGAGCCCTCATGCATTCCCAATGCATCTTCTCTCTAAGCTGCTGTTTCCTTCTTTACAACTGCCTCTACAAACAACTCTTCAGAGGGCCCCAAGCCTACAGATGACGGGGACCACATCTGAGAGACGCTACAACCGTGCCAGGATCATCCCACGCTGGGGAGAAGATGCAGCTTGTGCTGGTCCCCAGGAGCAGAGGAGCTGCCTGCCACAGAGGCGAGGGCAAACCCTCCGGGACTCTCAGCCTTCAGAGAATGGCCCCAAAGTGCAAACCCTGCAGCCACCACTCCCCCAGGACCCCGTCTCTTGAAGCAGAGTCAGAAGAGCAGGAATGAGGATTCCAAAATCCCCTTTTCCATTTGGTGCCTAAAGCACTGACCAGCGCTGAAGCACCCCAGCAGGCGCTGACCTTCCCGGCAGCAGAGGAGAAAGACTCGAGCTCAGTCACTTACTTTTTCCTGTCTTTGTCCTTCTTCAGCGGCTGCTGTGAGGTAGCCTGCAAGGATTGGGACTGCAGGGTTTCCACCGCTACTTTCCGCCGGTTGAAGGCGTTCATCTCCTCCTCCAGCTCCCTCCTCTTCTCCTCCACCTTCCGTTTCTCCTCCTGGTGTATCCTCTTTAAGTGCTCAAACTTCTCATGCAGCTGAGGGGAGACAAACCCTCTGAGCATCGCAGCCAGCACAGCCACGGGGCTGTGACCCCCTCCCCTGCTTCGCCCCACACGAATCCCCACCACCCCACAGACACCGGCTGGGTGGTGGGGTCCAGCAGTGCCCCTGCACCGTGCCAGCCCCAGCAGAGCTGGCCCTCACCAAAAGCAGTGAAGACACAATGAATTCGGGTCTGCTGTGAGCTGAACAGATCACATACACCAAACCAGGAGAGAGTGTGTGCCCTGGTATGTGCACTGAGGCTCCCTGCCCCGTGGACCCTGTGGGCTCTTTATTCCTCACTAGTTTTGAAGATGGTCCATTTATCTCCTCCCCAGTCCTGATGGCTGCTGTGGCCTCACAACACTGTCCTGGGATTCCAGCTCCCCCCTTTGCTGCCCAGTGAGCCATCCGACACGGATGCTCACCAAACCACCCCGCACTGCCCTTCTCTCACCAAGCAGCATCCGAGTCTCCCACACACAGCACAGGATGGGGAGAGCTGCTGGTTCTGAGGCACTTCAACCAGGGATGCTGGCTTGAAAACACTGCCCCGTGTCCCCTTCTCCGAGTGGGGGGACACGTGTGTGTGTGTGTGTGCTTTGGCTGCTCTGCTCCAGAGCTGCATGTGCTCTCCAGGATTCACGCTGCCCAGCACCAGCTCCCATGCTGGCTGCATTTTGGGCTCCAATCCCAGGTTTTTGGCACACCCACCTCTCTCTCCTTCTCCTTCAGCTCTGCCTCCGTCTCCTTGACTTTGTTAACAAACATTTGTCTCATTTCTTCCTCTTTCCTCTGGAGCTCTCCCAAGAACTCTTTCCTTTTGGTCTCGTACGTTTCTTGGAGGCTGGGGAAGAAAGCAAACAAAATCCAGACCCTCTGGCCACCGATGGGGAAATGCACGCCTGCCTGCATTGCCTCAAGACAAACAGGGGAGGGAATGCTCAGGTCAGCTGCAAAGTTCAACCCCAGTGCTAGCTCCTGCCAGGCCACCATTGAGGATATCACCTACAAGCCTTCCTGTTTGGAGTGTCAGTAACAAACTACTGCTCTGTGTGGATGCTGTAGACACGAAGGGCGCCCACCTGAAGGGCTGGCTGTCAGGATCTGTGTCCTTGAAGCCCATCTCCTCCAGCTTGCACCTCCTGTAGAGCTCATAGTGGCGGGTGTGAGTCTGCTCCCGGAGATCCTCCATGTTCACCCGGATCAGCATCTCCCGCAGCTTCACGAAGTCGCAGTGACTTTCGTTCTCAACTGATGGAGGCAAAGGGAGGACTCAGCAAACCGCACACACAGCAGAGCACAAGCGCAGGTTGCCTCCAAGCACTCCCCTCCCAAGCTGTTGTCCCGCACAGAGCACAACACAGCCCCTCGGATGCAGGGATTCCCATGGACCATTACTGCCTGCTGGTAGGAATGGAATGGGATTCCAAGGGAAGGTTGGCCAACCCACAGGACGTTTCTGCAGTGCTCAGCACAGGGCAGCTCCATGCACATGCTGGCAGGAGGGCAGAGCTGGATGCAGAAGGTGCCCTGCATGCACAAGGCAGGTCTGCGGGGGGTGCCTGAGGCAGCACCTTACCTTGCACCACTCCCCATGGGTACTGCCGAGCTCTCACCAGCTTGTTCCCAACCTTCACCTCCTCCGTGCTGCCGACCACAGCAAAGGGCAGATGAGCCTGAAACAGAGCCAAGGAGAGACTGAGTGCGTGAGCCCAGAGATGAGCCTGACCAATGGATCCCCCTCACCCACGATCTACTCCAATAAGTCCTTCTTCTAAATCTAGCCCCCAGTACTCAGAGCAGCCTCTACTATGGACTGGGATACTGCAGCAGAGAGCAGCATAAGGCTGCAGCACAGCCTCTTGGCACTGCTGGCTGGACTGGATGGGGAAATATTGTAGGAACACCATGATCATCACTGATGTCCCTGTATCCATTTGTCAGGTTGTTCTCGCAGCTCTTTCCCCATGCCAAGAGCGGGGCACTCCCTGCCTTGCAGAAAGCACAAGCAGAGACATCCGTAAACAGGCCTTGGCAGAGCAGTTTGTGTGTGGGCACTGGAAGGGACGTGAGCAGGATACAACATGTGCTCGCTGCTCCCCAAGCCTGCAAAGCACGGAGCACAGCGAGGGAACAGGGCACTGTCCTCAGCGCCGCAGGAGCCGCGGAGCCGACGCTTCAGTTGGATGAGGCTGACAAAACCCTTCATGTTCAGGAAGAAAGGGATCCACAAGTGTGGAATTGGTAGAGAAGTGGCCAGGAATATTTTCACTGGGGCACGGACCAAGCAGCCCCGACTCCCCTTTCAATCACCAGCACACACAGCTTGCAATCGCTTTAGAAAGATGGTTGTAGCCTCCAATTCAGCAAAACCAGAGCTATTCTGGTGAAAACACCCATCTACTTGACCCAGAAATCAACTGGCTATTGAGATTTAAAGTAAATTTAAACAGGGGGGCAGGGATAAAAGACAAAGCATTTAATCAGAAGCAGCCATGCAGGAAGATGCTCGTCCTGATGAAAAAGCTGCTTTTAGTTAAAAATCAACATGGAGGCATCTCAGCTGCTCCGACTGCAATAGCTACACTGTGGTCTGGGAGATGGGAAACCTGAAGGTGTTTTGCACTTGTTCTCAAGTTGATCTTTGAATCCCAAAAAGACAAAATAGAGTCAAATCACTTTTCTTCTTTAGTTTAAACCGGGGTTTCTCTGCTCGGCCTTAAGGGAGGAATAACGTACATCTTAGCTGTAAGAGTTTCATTCCCAGTTTCCCCCTCCTCATGTGACTGGCAGCCTCAAAGGCAGAGAGAATGAATTTTAACAAAGTATTCTTCAAACAGTCAATAAACCAAATTTTGGAGCAGTTTCTCCAGAGAGCCCACAGATTCAACCAGAGCCACGCTGTGATTAACTCTGCACACAACAGCCCTGGGCATCTCTCGCATCCTCAGCTCAACTCTCAAACAGACCCAGTGCCCGGACAACCCCGGTGGAACTTGCCTTTTAAATACTGGTTTGTGCAGCAGTTCAATCTGTCACAGCTTTTGGTGCCCTCAGTGTGACTGGAGCCAGTACTCACATTCATCACCGAGTTGATCTCAGCGACCGCTTCATCATCCGTGGGGAACTGGTAGATCTGCACCCCATTGCTGACCAGCTCGCTCATCACCTTGATCTTGAACTTGTGCAGCTCGCTCTTGGAGATGGTGTCTGCTTTGGCAATGATGGGGATGATGTTCACCTGCAGCACGAGGAAGGAAGGAGAAAGGAGCCAGGTGAGCAGCACTGGGGTGAGCAGCTCCATGGTGCCCATGTCCTACCCGCTGGCTGCTTTGCCTTTCACACAGAGGGGCTGTGCTTTGCAAGCGCTGCAGCACGAACGCAGCTGAACACTAGAGGGAAGAGTTTTCCAGGCCTGATTTGGCTACAAGATTCCCGATAAAGCAAAGACAAACATCCCGCAGTAAACACACGAGGAGCAGATCAAAGCCTCTGCGTTTTGTTGGTACACGCTCCGAGGGAGGCAGAGGCACCGTAACTGTCACACCTCCAGTTATCACCTCTCGCTCCTGGCTGTGCTGACAAGCTGGTTTAGAAGACAGGCACAAGGATGACACCGCTGCAGTGAGCTGGTGGAGCCCTCCCCATCCCTCAGCAGGAGGAGCAGGGGCTCCTCAGATGCTGTTACAGCAGGTACAGAACCTTTCCAAGGACTCCACGTGGATCACAACTCGGGCGCGCTGAGTGGATGACACAGACCCCCTGGGAGAGGTGCAGGGCACAGCACACAGGAGGCTGGGGGCCCTGCTGCTCTTGCTCAGCTCTGGTTGCACATCGCACCCACCAGCACAACACCCATGGAGCTTCATCAGCCCAGGGTTCAAAGCCACCCACAGGCTGCAGCGTGGGGAGGTCCCCACCGTGCCTGGTACCCATCAAGGTGAAGAGCAAACAAGGGCCGCATCCCCCATGCTTCAGGAGGGATGTGGGTCACCGTGTGGCCTCAGGCTTGAGAGAGCTGCAGCAGGGCAGGACTCTCACAGGAACCTCTATTGGATTGTGCTGCGATGCCCAGAGGAGCCAAGCGCCACGCTGCAAACCACTGCTTAAACAAACACCAGCACAACTCCTCTGTCTGAGCAGCAGCCAAATTCATAGCAGCCACACGCAAGGGCTGAGACAAAGGAGGGGAAAGCCTGATGTGCCATTTCACAGCTCCCAACAGCCAAGGCTTTTTGTCCTACAGAGCACAAACTCAGAGCAGCCATTTGGGCTCCAGTGGGTGCCATTCATATAAATAACCTTGCTTTCCCAGCTCAAGCTCTCTTTGTGGCTCAGTGCTTTTTTCCCCATACTTCATGTTCCTCCCTCCTCCCTCTGGTTTAGCACCCACTAAATACAAGAGCATTTACTCGCTCCACAAGAAAACCATCTTAATTTGCTCATTGCAAATACATCCGAGGGGATAAATTCCTTCTTTTCCTCAGCCACTGACCTGGCCTCTTTACCAAGGGCCACAAACCCACACAGAACAAGGCCTATTGCTCCTCAGCAGGTCAGTGTCCTCATTACCAGTGTAAAAGGGCCATGACCACAGCTGGGTGCCTCACTGACCTGCTAAGAGCAGGGCAGCCACAGCTTCTCTGGGCACCCTGTGCCAGCGCCTCAGCACCCTCACAGGGAAGAGCTTCTGCCTAAGAGCTCAGCTCAGTCTCCTCTCGGGCAGGTTCAAGCCATTCCCCTTGGCCTGGAATTATGACCCGAGGAAACCTGTGCTTCAGACAAGACAGTGAACTGCAATGCACACCCATAAAACCCACCTCCTTCCCAAGTCACGAAGGGCAGGCAATTATCTACAGCTCCTAAACAGCACTGAGAACCACCCAGAACAACAACAGGGAGCCCCGGGATGCCCACAGCAGTATGCAGCTGGGCACCACTTCCCAGGGCAGGGCTGTTTCACATCAATACATCACCTCCTCATCTGATACAGGGGCAACATCACCTATCTCTTTGCCCAGGTTAAACCCAATGGAAAGCCAACCCCTGCCAGGTCCTACGTGCTTCCCACCCAGCAGCCATTCCATCGACCCAGAACCACTTCTGAAGATGCTTCTAGCCCTCTGGCTGTAACTGAATACCCTGAGAGCAGCTGGCCATGAGCTCAGCCAAACAGATGATGTACCACAGCACAATGGAAGGTTCTGTTTACGAACCAGCTTTACTCAGAAGGGACTTTGTAAACTTTACACTCAAGGCAAGATTTGTTATTGAAACCATCACCCACATTCAGAGGCCTGCCCAGCACCTGGTGCCGTGCCATGGCGTGCTGGAGCCAAGGTGGAACCGAGCCTCAACCCCCTTGTTAAACTAGCCCAGAAGCTGAGTCAGCAGAGCACACCACAGAGCCCTGCCCCTATGCACCTCCATGGGCTCCATTCTCCACCAGCCACCCACAGCTTCCCAAGGGGAAAGGCAGGTTCAGGGCTGCAGACACGAGGCAGAGTACGTCACCTCCCTGCTGTCACCGGTGTGGAGCGGATGGAAAGCTGCTGACACGCACTGCACTCTGCCCCATGCACAGCCATTGAGGTGCACTGGGAAGGGGGCTCAGTGCTGTCGTGCACAAATCCTGGAGCGCCTGGACAGCGCCTTGATGGCCTGGGATGACACTGATGCAGAAACACAACGTAAATGCCTGGCACCCAGGAAACATCAATGGTCTCGGGCTGCTTATTCATGTCCATGTGCCTCCTTGCTCAAAGCCACCAAACCCAAGATGTTCTCACACCGTGGTAAGAAGGGAAATGAGAGCAAAGGGATAAAAGGACTCCAGGGAGGACAATCCAAGTGGAAGTTTAGGAATATAAAAAGCCTGTGTGTGCACAAAGTCCCCATCTCTGCACAAGTACAAAGGATTTATTTTGGTACTGCCCAAGGACCACATGAAAGGCAGCCACAGGGAGATGTGAAAAGTAGGGAACGGAGAAGGAAGGGAAGGGAAGAGCTTTGTGGGACCACCAGCACCAAGGGGAATCGTGCAAAAGCTTTCCTCCAAGCATATTTCTGGGGATGTGTAATGCTGGCAGCACACCAGGAGACAAGAGTTTATTGAGGGAAAGTTTCTGGATGCCTGATGAAGTCAGTGTAACAGCTACCAGGGTTACAACAGCCGCTGCAACAGGAGGGCAGTGCCTGCTCTGCAGCAGGGCCAAGGGAAAGCAGCCCTGGGTGGGAGGGCAAACAGCAGGGACCCTGCAAGGGGGACTCTACCCAGGGCCCCCATTACTGCAGGGTCTCAGCACCTTGCTTGTCCCCTCTGCGGGCTCATCAGCATCTGCCCCCCTTGCTGCTGAAACACTGTTTGAAAGATAGGAAATGCTTTGTGAAGAGGAGATGCTGCTGCCACTTGTGACCTCTGGAGCCTCCTGCAGCTCCCTGGAAGCCAGAAGTGTGTCAGAAACCTCCTCTGAGCTGCAGGAGCATCAGTGGTAGCCGGTTAAGTAACCCACTGCCGCCTTAGGCAGAGCAGCCTGTGCACAGAGAAAAGCCCCAGGGCAGACCCTCTCATGACCCACTTTTCAGATCCTATGACCTTGAGGATCCCTCACCATGCTGAACACCTTCAGGAGATATTGTGATCTCCTGTGAGGACCACCTGGCACTCAGAACACATCCTTACCCGCACATGTGTAAAGAGCAGGTAAGGAAGTTGCAGCTGATGGCTTTGGTAAATACGAGCTAACCTGGGTAAGATTCTTATAGTGAGGGACACTCCAGATGGCTGGGGACCAGGTTTTGCACCTGATATTCTTCAGGCAAGGCAGCGAGAAAACAAGCACAAGACCTCAGCAACCACCAGGACAGACGAAGTTTTATCAGAGCCCTATAAACACCCCAGCTACCAGGCAAGAAGGGGTCCAGCACTGACACAGAAGCCATAACCACTTCCAGGAAGATGGCCCATGGTGTCCAAAGCCCTCACCTTGCTATCGAGCTTCTTCATCGTGACCAGGTCCAGGGACTTGAGGGAGTGGCCGGTGGGGGTGATGAAGTAGAGGCAGACGTGGATCCTGGTGTCGTGGTAGTTGAAGAGGGAGCGCCGGATCTTCAGCTCCTCTTGTAAGTAATTTTCAAACTGCGTATCAATGTACTCCACTATCGGCCTGTAACTGAAACCAGACCATTAGCAAGCCAGGCCTGGGGCACAGGCACTGCCAACGCTTCAGGGCTTCCACCACTATAAAAGCAACCACGAGACTCAAACGATGTAGCCTCACAACAGGAGGAGAGTGGCATTTACACACAGACCTTGTAATCCAAAGGAGTCTCCTGAGGCCACACTGGAAAATAAGGACACTGGAGCACAGAAAGACAACTCCCTCCCCACATCTAACTCTGCCCAGGTCTCAGGGCTGAGCCATCTGGCTGCAGCAATGCAGCGTGACCAAGGAGAGACCTTGGAGTCCCAGAATGCCTTCACCTCGGGCTTGAACAAGACGTCTGTGCAATTAAATGAGACAGGTCCAGCGACACTGGGCACTGTCAGAACAGATCATTCCCAACCCTGCACTGAGGGCAGCTTGTCAACTGCTCCCGCTCCTGCAGGACACCATTCCCTGCTGGACAAACCTCCTATGACCCCTCTTTCTGGCTCCTCACCCAATTCACTCAGTCCCCAGAACCAGAGCCACTGCAGGGAGCTACTCCATTAACAGAAACACGGGCACGCGGGGCTGCAGGCACTTTGAGGCCAGCCCAGGAAAGCCGAGCAGACGGCGCGGGACCTGCCTTTCATCCTTATTTATCTGGTCCCCGAAGCCGACGGCATCCACGATCGTCAGCTTCAGGTGCACGTTGCTCTCCTGCAGGTCGTAGGTGCGTGGCCGCAGGCAGACCGCGCTCTCGTAGTGACTGGCCTCCTCCGTCTCGAAGGTGGTGTTGAAGAGGGTGTTCATTAGTGTGGATTTCCCAATGCCGGTCTCACCTGGGAAGGAGAAACCATCAGCTCCCTGCAGCGTGAGCCTGCCACAGGTACTTCAAAGGATGCTAATTACAGAGCAGAGTAAATTACACTGTGAGAGGTGCCTACAAATTGCTGCGCACGGACATGTAATTCTCCCACCGGTCACTGCATTCTTGAAGGCCTCCCATGCTTAATGCAAAGCTACCACAGAGCACTCTGCCCTCATCCCCCAGCGAGCAGCACGCAGCACAGCAAAACACTGTCTTCCTCTGGAGAAAATGCTCCTTGGAGAACCAGTAAGGGCACAATCAGGACAAGTTTCCCATCTGCAGCCCCCCTGTTCCAACAGCCACTGAAGGACACCTGGGATGCATCACAAACCAAGCTCTATCCCCGGATATTTGGCTCAAAGTCATCTGTGATGCAGAAAGGCTTTGAACTGCTGCTCCTGGTAACTAAACTAGACTGATGTCTTCCAGATTGGCCTACAAGGGGCTCCATTTAAACCCCTCATTCACTACACGCAGCCCTGTTGGCCAAGGGAGTGAAAAGAGGCAAATCCCAGGCAATGACCTCCTCCTTGCTCATTCTGGGCAGTCTCCTGTGCTACACCTTCAGCACAGGCAGCCACTGCTCCCTGAACCTGCGAGGAGCCCTGAGGTGCACGGAGGGTGAGCAAGCGTCTGCTCAAGGGAGGTGCCGTGCCTGCTGCACTGGACTCTGCTCCCCACTGCAGAATCAACCCCTCGTGGTGCTCAGGACAGGGCAGAGGCATGCACTGCATCCTACCCGCTGCAGGCAGGAGTTGTGCAGGGCAACAAGGCAGCCCGGTGCTCCAGACTGACTGAAAGGAGTCATGCAGAGAGCTCACCACTGACATAAGCCGCATTCTCCAGAGCCATGTTCTCTTTGGGCAGATTGAGGGCCAGGCAGGGAGCTGCTGTCTCTGGATGCATTTCTGCTGTTCTAGCAGGTTACAATACTGCAGATTCATACCCAAGATCCAGCCAAAGTAAAACTAATGCTCAGCTCATCTCTGGAAGGAATTGGTTCCTAGTGCTCCAGCAGCATCGCCTGCTCACGTCAATACCGGAGTTAAAAACCAAGCACATAATGAGGGTATTTCTTCTCACAACCGCTCTCAAGCTTCCAGACAAATACTTTACAATCAATAAAAGCAGGAACACTCCCTCTCCCTTTCCTAGCATGGGGGGGTCAGGCTTCCAGCCCTTTGGCTCACCTGGGACAGCATCAGCCAGGCACAAGCCTCGTGCCAGGCACCCCAGAGTGCAAACATTTCACTTGCCATTTCTCTTAATCCTTCCTATTGCAGAGGAGATGAGCAACACCTCGCTGATGATGGGACCCTTCTGGTTTCAAGGCTCACCCCTTGGATCTCCCTGCCACCCTGCAGCTTCTGCACCAGAAGCTGAGCTCAGTGCAGACCCGGATGGCCCCACAGCCGTTTCCTCCCCCACTTCCTCACCAAAGCACAAAGTTGATGTGTTTAAGCTTTTCCCCATATTCCCCCCGATTTTGGGCAATGGGTCTCCAACAGCCACGTGCGAAAGTCCCAGCTCAGAAGCACCAAGCTCCAGAGAGCTCAACTCCACTGCAATTGAACCCTGTTTTTAAAGACCTGGGCATCTTGGCTTTGCTCAAAGTCAGCACCGAGGCTGCGGCACAGCACAAGGAATGAACCCTGGTCCCAGCCCGTGTCTGTGTGCAGGGGCCAGCGCTCACCCACGCAGAGGATGTTGAAGCTGAAGCCCTGGGTGACGGACTTGCTGACCAGCTGATCCGGGAGACTGTCGAAGCCGACATGGCCCCCCAGGGAGAGGTTCCTCTTCTCTTCATTCTGGGAGGGAGAAGAAGCCGCGTTAGTGAAGTACTGGGGTGAGAACTCAGACCGGGGAGAGGGACCACCAAGGCCAAGAAGCGCCCACCCCCTGTGCACAAACCCTGGTGCTGCCGCAAGAGCTTGTGCGTTGGCACAGCACAAACCCCGACAGCCACCACCGACGAGCAGAGAGGGGAAACACTGCTCTTAGCAGGGAGCTGGGAGCGCTGACCCAACAGGCTACAGAGGAAAGAAAACAGGAGGGCAGGAGCTCCAACTGCGTGCAGCTGGGAGAGATTAGCAAAGGAAACCCCACCAGCCCCTGTCTGAGCACTCATTTCTTCCCCTCCTTTTGACTTGTGTTTTGTTAAACCTCCAACTCCACCGACTCCATCCCCCCAACTGCTCGATCACTTCCCTTTGCTATTGCCATGAGCAGCGTGGGGTTGTTCGCTCGGGCATGCAGGGGTGCTGCTCGCGCAGGCAGGACAAGGAACCCTCTTGCTTTGCCATCTGTGACCGCAGCTTTCCACCTTGCCTCTGCTGTTCCTCTTCCTGTCTCCCCCCATGCACTTGATTCTTCCTTCTGTCCCCTCTCTCCCCCAGAGGAAGCGCATCACCTGTAGGAAGCTTTGCTTGGAAACCAAGGCAATAAACATCCGAGGAGACAATAACAGCTCTGTGCCCTGTGTTATAGAGCAAAGCAGACCAGGTCAGCTGCAAAGTGCAGAGGAGAGGAGCTCACAGAAGGGCAATTTCTGCTTCTAGTGGTTAAGAACAGGGGAGTTTGGATTTCAACAGATACTGCTACCTCTGCAAAGCAGAGCGACACCTCAGGGGTGCAGCCCCTCAAGCACTCCCATCCTTCCACAGGGAAGCAGAGATATGGGATTTCAGAGCACGATGCAGGTTCCTTGGTAAATGACTCTTCTTAATCCCCAGCACACAGCGGAAGATGGGGATGGGGAAAGTGTCTGCCCTTTGCCTGGCTTTGGTTCTTCTCTTTGTCCCTGACAATGTGGACTTAAAGACTGCGAGACAAGAGCCTAAGCTGGCTGTCAGACTTGAACTCGAGAGGGAAATAAAAGTCAGGCCACGATAAGCCTTGTGCATCGCTCTATGCCCGCAGCAAGAAGCTCAACAAAACGCAAACCTCTGTTCATCTGCATCTCCAGTCAAAGCCTGCCTTAGTTCTGCCGCTGGGAGAGCAAATATTGCCAGCTCTGTAAAACAAACCACTTAAATCACAAGGACAACACGTGAGCAGCTGAGGCAGCTCCGAGGCCCCATGCACAAACCTCCCCGCTTAGCATTTGTTACCAGCTTCCAGCTGATTCCAGCCCTACGCTCTCCCAAGGGGCTCCCTGGACACAGACACAGCCGAATCCCAGCTGGGTTCCTACAATCACTTCTGCTTCACCCCATCAGGATCGATCGCGCTAAGAGGAAATCGCAATCATTTAAAGTTTTCCTAGGGGAGAGGTGCCATCAAGTAAGGTTTTATGGTGGCCAGCAGCTGAGGTGAATTAAAAGGGACCCCAAGGACAGGGAGACCTCAAAGTTAAGCTTTCTCCCATTCATCTGTCACCACATGGAGCTGTTAAAGCTCAGACTGATGCCTCTGCAGGGATGGAACCCAAGGGCAGGACGAGTCCTTGCTGATCCAAGCAGCCCAATGCTGGACCATGGATCCGGCACAGGATGGTGCAGCTGCATAGGGATGGGGAGTTAGGACCCCCGGGGGGCTCAGCATTGTTCAGGTTTGCTTTTCCTTTTAGGAAGGGCTTGTCCTCCTCTCCCCTCTCCAAGACACCACATGGGGAGCTCAGCGCGCCGGTTCCCAGCACCGTGGAGCTGGGGACAGCCAAGCTGTTCCCACAGAAAGCCACCGAGTTTGACAGTGACACTTTTGTGTCTTTTCACTGTAAATAACAAACAAACCCAAGCAAACAAAACCCCAAAGCGGAGAGCCCGCGATGACATTCTGGATGGCAAATAAATCAAGGCTGCCGGTGGCTATGATTAGGCTGCGAGAGCCCGAGGCTGGGAGGAGGTTTCCAGGCAACAGGCAGCATCGCTGCTCCGCAGTTTAAAATAGGCTCCAGCTCGGCAGGGCTGCATTGAGAACTCAGTCATGCCTCGGCCGGAGGAAACCCAAATGTGCTCACACAGGGCTCGCTTTTCTCCTCTCTTCTGGCGTTTGGCCGCTGTTGGGTCAGGACAAGAATACCCTGAACTGCGAACGGCTCCGCTGCTCCTGGAGGTGCTGAGGCAACCAGGCAGCTCCAGGGACAGTCTTTGACAGTGACCTTGAAATGCAGTTGCCTTTTATTTCTATGAGCAGCAATAATGACCTGCTTCAAGTTCAAGACGCTGCCGATACCGACGCAGAGAAGCGGGTGCTGTGCTTGCAGGGCCTTCAGCTGCCACTCAGCTCCAAAGGGTTTTGCTGTTGTTGCTGTGTTAGGACAAACAACTGCTGGGAAAGAGCGAGGCCACAAAAGAAGCCTTAAAACCCAGGTTTTGTTGGTTTATTCCTTCTCTCCAATCCATCGAGCTCACAGACTGGGCAGCCCCGTGAATACAACCAATGCTTCACCTCCCTTGTGCTGTTTGGTGCTTTCCTGGAGCAGAACCTCCCCATCATCCTGGTGCCACTTATCCCTGCACTGAACTGCAGTCAATCTGAGTCTCACCCCCAATGACCAACCCTTTAGGGTAGCTCCAGGACAGCTTGACATGGTTCACGTGCTAGTGAAGACATCAAGGTCACACTCAAAACTGAATTCCTTCCAGCAGCAGCAGCCAGGCTGCAACGCTCAGCATGAACAATCAACCCAGAACACGGATGCTGCAATACACGAGGGCAGCAATAATGCAGCAGTGTAGGGCTTGGTTTAGACAAAGAATTTCAGCAGGACTCTTCCCTGTCTGGTGTCCTGCAGGACAGGAGCAGGCAGGTACGTGGCAGAGCTGGATGGGATCAACCATGGCGAGAGCACAAACACAGCCCTGCCCTTTCCAGTTGCACTGGTCTCAATGCCCAACGAGACTCAGGTCTCTCACAGCCTGGAGAGAGGAATCTCCTGCTTCTCCCCAGGCAAGCCCCCATCCTGGGGCTGCAAACAGCCACAAGGCAGACGAGCTTCCATGAAGCCCATGTGATCATCTCACAGCATGGTAATTAGGAGCTTGTGATGGCTCCGAGTGCCAGCTCCCACCATAAACAGCTACTGCAGCCCTGAACGTCACTTCTTGGGTCCCCAACGATCACCATATGATGGGCAGCTACCAGGGTATCACTTCACAGGGAGGCTTTGTACATGCTCTGTACCTTGAGCTGACCTTCAGGGCTTGAGGCAGAGAGACAAGGGGACAATTTGTATTTTAAACCTGGAATTTCGTGGGGAAACCGAAGAGCAGGATTTGTTAAGTTCCAAAAGTCCTTTTAACCATGTCACTCATGCTCTGGCTCGAGAAGCAGAGGCTATGAAGGCAACAGGCACACAAATGGCACGGCCACGGAAACAGCCGCCATCCCAGAGGGAAACTGATCTCTGGCTCTGTTTGACAGCCACGTCACAGGAGCCTTCTCCTGGCACGCAGCGGAGCCGCAGCCGTGCCCTTGCAGGCACAGATGGCCACGCTCAGCTGAGCCCCACGGACCCAAGGAGGAACCTCCAAACACAGTGCTGCAAACCTGCTCCGAGGCACCGGCCAGCTGCCTCCAGGACGCGCTCCGCCAGAGGCTGGGATGCTTTGGGGATGCACAACGTCATCTGGCCCACTCCTGTGGCCACACCAGCATGAAGACACCCAGGGAACCAAAAACAGCACTTCAAGCCCACACCAGCTTCCTAAGCCCATCCACAGCAGGGTCCCACAGACCGTGCTGTGCCGTGGGACCGTGGGGTGGGAGGAAGCAGAGGCAGCATCACCATGGGCAGCTGGCCACAAACCATATCCATAGAAGATTATGTGTTATTTGGCCCTTTATTGCAAGCGAGCCAAGAAAAGGCATCAGAGAAACACAAGAGACACCAAATCCAGACCCCTATAAGAGGGGCAACTCGGTATTCACACATTCATTAGGCTCTTCCTAGTAGACAGAAGGATTAAAGAACCCTGTGAGGCTGCAGCATCGAGCACTGTGCCTACGATCCTTTAAAAGCCAGCAGTCTGATCACAGCTTCTCTTCATGCCTCACCTCCAAATTAGCATCGGTTTCACTTTGCGTCATTACATTTTCAGCATCTTCTCCCAGCAGAAGAGGCTCTGTCACTTGTGCAAGCCATGGGGATGGCAGCAGCGAGGACACCAGCTCCATACCCAGCTCTAGATCTGGCCTGGCTGGGGCTCCTGGTGCAGAGCGGAGCGGCTCGCTCTGCTGTTAGATGAGCTGCCCGTGTTGTCCTCCCTCTCACACCAGGAGCAGCATGAACAGACCGTGACATCAGTTGTTAAAATAAAGACATTGGGAAGTGCCATCTCCCAGCTGAGCTCCACAAGAAGTGCTCCTGCTGATGTGTGCTTGTGCTCTGTGCCCCAGACAACCCCAGCTTCCCTTTCCTGAGCTTTTTCCATGCTGTTTTACACACACACTTGTAAAGAGAGCAAGAGGCAACAACACAACCTGTGCACATGGTGCCTCCATTCCCAGTACTGAGGCACACTTCTGCACATAAATTCCTCAGTTCTGGATGACATCTTGACCTTTAGTACCAGATCCTCCAGGACTTTGCAGTGTGAATCCCATCCCAGCCTGGGAGCAGTGCATCACCTCCCCACCAATGCCTGGACATAGCACAGGCGCATCACTTCGCACTGCAGTGGCACAGGGAGCCGTGGGGTCCGGGCACGCTGTGCCAGGCTCCCTGCGAAGTGCAGAGCTCGGAGATCCCCTCCCCTCCAGTTCACAATCGAACCAAACACAGAGGGGACAGAAGCCAGGCTCCCGGCCAGGCTGCAGCTCCCGCTCGCTGGGACTCAGGGAGCAGCACGAGGAAGGGCAGGGAAGG